CGAGTGGGGGGTAGGGAAGCAGAAGGGAAAGGCGAAAAAAGTGGGCGGTTTTCAGGTTGCTTATTGGAATTTTTTCTGACTCCACATTTTGGGTTACTAGATTCTCTCCCCTCTGGGACGAATTAATGAAGCGGTGAATGACCTCACGAAAGCGATTCAGCTTCAGCCCTCAGCCCGGCTGTACAGGCATCGGGGGACCCTGCACTTCATATCAGAGGTGAGTCACTTTCGTTTGGGAAGCTTTCCTTTCATAATGATCAAGATGTCGCGTCTCCCTTGATCTCAGAGTGCTGCTGTCTGTTAGATGTGAACTCAAGCCGTTCAGTGACATGTCTGTGCTCGACGGCAGCGGTAAAGCCATTTCCTTTAGCTGAAATTAAAACCAGTGGAGACACAGAAAGTACCCAAAACATTTTCTTGTTTGAGCTGTCAGCTGTAACTAATTCTGGATTGGGGTTGAGAGAGAGAGAAAAACAAAGGGTCTTTCCTTTGGTCTACAAATTACACTCCAGCCTTGCAGATGCAAGAAAGAGAAACAGGTGTGCTTTTGATCAGTGTGATTATTGCTCATAGAGGAATATTTGGATTTCTGTGCTTATCACACCCAGGGAGCCGTGGCTTGAACTAACATGGCTTCCAGACTAGAACTTCTGCAGATCAGTGACCCACACCTAACTAGAGTATCTTTTTCCATTGCAGTGCTTATTTCTGATTTTCACAATGATTTTTCTGGGCTTATAGTACTTTTAACAACAATTTTCTATTGTAAAAGAAAATATATATTGAACAATTTCAGCCTAACACATTCTAAGATTACTCTATGATATCATTGTTTTACAAGTATCCAGTATGTTAAAATACACTAGGTTAGAAGTTTCTCTAATGAAACTTCACTTGAGTAATATTTGAAATCGTATTATTCTTGTAGTTGAGACGAAATGCTTAAATTAGACCTTAGAGAGTCGTTTTCACCAGTTTCCTAGAAAGCCGGCTATTTCAACAAGCAGTAGAAGCACTCAGCTGATATATATGATTTCGTAGAATTTACATCAAAAAGAGCACAGGATGAACTGGTCATTTTTTCTCTACCAATCAAAAGTAGGAACTGTTTAAATGTCTAATGAGTACTGTTTTATTTTTTCCCCACTCTCATTTCTGTAGGACTATGCAACAGCCCACGAAGACTTTCAGCAGTCGTTAGAACTGAACAAAAACCAACCTATGGCTATGCTATACAAAGGGTTAACTTTCTTTCACAGAGGACTTTTGAAGGTGAAAGTTGTGCAATGTGTGTACGGTGTGACGCTTCTGTTTCTCATGTGGTGGGAGGAATTTAGTGTGATGTGCTTTCAAACGCTGTCTCAAGTGTCTCACTGGCCCGTCCTAGAAAGCAGCTGGAATCAGCATATTTATTGAGCTCCTATTATTTGCTAGGTTCTTGGAGGGAAGTACAGAAAGAGAAGATAAAAGGCTAATAGAAGGAGAAATAATACTTCAGATTTATAAAGCTCAGGTTTATGGAGCTGAAGTGGTGGGAGGTGAGGGGACAGGTCCTTTAGGCAGGGAGGCCAGCAGGAGCGAAGGCCTGGGAAGGTAGAAATCCAGCCAGTCCACAGAGTGACAAAGAGGTGTGTGCGTCAGGCAGGTGTGCATGCCAGGCAGCTGTGTGCGTCAGGCGGGTGTGTGTGTCAGGCGGGTGTGTGCGTCAGGTGGGTGTGTGCGTCAGGCGGGTGTGTGTGTCAGGTGGGTGTGTGCGTCAGGCGGCTGTGTGCGTCAGGCGGCTGTGTGTGTCAGGTAGGTTGTGCATGTCAAGGAAATAGGGCCGTCAAGTTGATTGCAAGCTGGTCCTCAGTCTAGAGTGTTGCACTAAGCATTTTTTATTTTTTGTTTCTTTTTAATTTGCTAGAAAGCACACGTACTTGCCAAGAGACAGAGTAAGAGGGAAGTGCGAAGCACTCCCGATGAGTAATGGTCTCGCTGCAATCCCTTCTTCTCCAGTTTTCCTTTCAAGACTTTGGGAATGCATGCACGTGTGCCCAGCATGTTTTTTAAACCACCAGTCTGGGGCTCGAACTACATAATCAGCCATGTGGGATCCAACCACCTTAACCTCCCTGCCACCAGCTGGCTCTTTACTAAGCACTTCCACTTAAATTTGTAGGCCCAGAGGAGCTATAAATTCGGTATGTAGGGACAAGTCTGTAGTTGAGCAAACCTGTCAGTTCAGAGGTACATTCTGACTGTGTGGGGCCAGGGAGGTAAGAGATCGGTAGCCTGGCTCGGACCTTGGTAGTGTGGCAGGTCAGAGCTGATGTGCCAGCCTGCGTTTCCTGGGTGGCTGTGGAGTGGATCTGGCATCTCTGAGAGGGGGTATCAAGCGATCGCCAAAGGGCTGCCCCGTGTGTGGGAAGAAGAGGGTGGGAGACAGCGCTGTGTGAACTGGGGAGGTTGGGGTAGCAGTGTAGTCCACCCGTCCTCCCCTCCTGCCCTAGCGCTGACTCCATGGCCTCGAGGCCTGTTTTTGTCAAGAACCTGCTGGCAGAGGCTTGGGCTCAGAGCCGGGGTGCAGAACTGGCTGGCACTGAGGCTGTAGCTGACTTTCTATCCTGGCCCTGGGCCTTCGCGGCCTAGCACGTAGTAGGTACTCTGAACAGGACACACTAAGCTACCCCTCAGAAGACACCGGCCCGAGAACTAAACACAGCCAGCTTGGGCTGGAGGGCACTCACTGACCAGGAGACCGAGGAAGTCTTCACCCAGAAGGGGGCACCTCCCCAGAACCTGGAAGGCTGCGGAGAGTGCGGTAGCCCACGGCAGGGGTGTGTGGGCAGGAAGGGTGTGCATGCTAGCAGTGAAATCAGTTCTGAGCCGTGTGTGTGTGTGTGTGTGTGTGTGTGCGTGTGTGTGTGTGTGTGAAGGTGGGAGGTTTACCTGTGGGAAGGCGGCATGATGTAATCCTCGGTGCCGAGGATTTGCGGATCCATGGCAGCACCCCGCAAGTGCTGGTGGGATAATGCCTTCCGAGGACGGAGCATCCAGCCTGGCATGGGGAGGCCTGGGTGTGAGTGCTCACTGTCAGCCTGGGCCACTGCCCATGGGCAGGTCACCCACATGCCCTCAGCCTTTTCTTTCACAACTGGAAAGTCGAAGTGACCCCGCTCCCTGCCTCCAGGCATCGGTGTCTGTTTTAAATGATTTTACCTGTGAGAGTTCAGCTTCACTGAAAGTCAAACTGGGAAGAATCGTGCAAATTCTGTCCCTTCAGCCTTGTCTGGCTTTTGCCAGGATGTGGAGGGCAGTCCTAACAAGGATGTTCTCCCTGGATTCGGACGGGCAGCCACAGGCCATGGGGGCAGCTTCCCAGGGAGCGAGCCGCTGCCAGGTGGGCGTCGGTGGCTGAGCCCGCACCTGCCCCGCCCCTCCTCCTGCACCAGCGCCTACACAGAGCCACGGCATCGCGCTCAGGCTGGCCCTCCTCCCCTGCACAGAGGGGAGAGATTGGAAATACAAAATAATACAACCTACTAGTACTAAGAGGTTAGAAACAGTTTTGGAAGTAAGCAAATGCGCAGAAGTGACCTCAGTCCCAGTCTCCTTACTGTAAAGCCAGGGTAGGAACACGGGCAGGGCACTTGAGGTTGTTTGGAAATGAGAATTTTTCAGAAAAGAGCTCAAACGGAGATGCTCGCTACAAACTGGCCAAGGATTAACTTGGCTTCAGTTTATTCCAGAGCTCCAGGATGAGAACCTAGAAATAGGCCTTGTTTCTGGGCCTACTCAGAGCCCCAGTGTCCCCGTCTTCCCGGGTTACTAGCCCTCTCTTCTCCCGCCCGCTCACAGCACCTACCACAGATGGAAACTCCCTTGGCATTTCCTGGAGCTGCTGTCCTGGAGGCCACCGCGGTTACGTACTGTCTCAGGCTTCCCGGCAGCATCTCCACGAGGCAGAGGGAACAGAGGGTGTCCCTTGCCCGGATGGGAAAACTGAGTCACTGCGAAATGGCTGAATTAACAAAAGAACCCTGTCCTAACGTTTCTGCTTCTGTTGCTGACCAAGGAAGAGCGCATCCAGTGGGCCGATGAGTCTGCTTTCTCGGAATCCTCTGGGTGGGCTCTCCCGGCAGTCGCGATGTAGAAATGAATGGCCATCGCTCTTTATTCTATGGCGCATTAGAGATACGCCGGGCAGCCTGCAGCCCGCACCCCAGCTCTCCACCGCAGCAGGCGCTCAGCCGTTCCGGACGTCCCAGTGGGTACAGCAAACGCTTTTCTGTGAACGCCATCCGTTTAGTCTGTGCGGGAAAGACATCTTGACGATTGCGTTCTAAAGAGCACCTGTTCTTACGACCTTCACTCTGAGAGCTATCTGAGTGTCCCCTAGTTACATAGCGATGGTCACCCGCTGACCAGTGAGGAAGACGGTGGCCAAAAGTGGTGTTGTGGCATTTGCCAAGCGCGCGGATCCAGAGCCAGTTCATGTTTAGAGATCGAGTCGTTCAAACGTAGTGTCTTTGTTCCCGATGCCTTCAAATCTTGATTCTGCTATGTCCCCTCTTTGGCAGAATGAGGTAGAGAGCTGTGCAGTGATTAGACAGGAACCCCGAAACCAAAGACTCTTAAAAGCTGAAGAGAAATCAGACTTTGAAGAGCTGTGGCGTCCAAGCATGCTGTAAGTGGGGGGGGCAGCAGGCGCGCCGGCATCTCCCGCGGGTGTCCACGAACACCAGGTGTGACACACCCCGGCCGGACTCACCCCGTCTCCCGCAGTCGGCCTCCCTCCTGTATATCCATGCGTTGGTTCACACCCTGGCCACCTGCCCAGGCTCTTAGCTTAAAAGCTTCCTACCCTTCTCCCTCACTCCCCACCGTGCACCCGAACACCCCGATTCTGTCTTAGTTTGCCTTTAAAAGTGTGTCCTGAACTTGACCCCTCTTTTCTGCCTCTGAGATGCTGTCTCAGTTCGAGCTTTCATTATCTCTTGCCCAGACTCCCGCACCACCTCCCAGCTGGGCTCACCTGTCTCTTCTCTTCCCTCCCCATCTGTGTCGTCCCTTATTGCCTCAGCAGTCACCTCAACAAAGCAGACTTTCCTTAGTGGCACACCTGAGCCCCGGGGCCCCACTGCTTCTGGGTGACGCCCAGACTGCTCGGTCCAGCCCAGGGTCCTTCCCTTCCTGGCTCGACTCCTAACTCTACTCCTACCTACACCCTCACGCTCTGCCATGCCAGGCTTCCCACCATGCTGACTACCAGTGCCACCGTTCCCCTTCTCTCTTTACCAAGTTCCTCTTCATTCCCCAAGTCCCAGCTCCACTGTCACTCCCTCCCTGAGGCCTGCTCTGATTTCCCCCGGCTCAGGTAGTGGTTCCTTCCTCTTTATCCCCAGAGACTTGCTCAGATCTCTGTTGTCGCTCTTAGCCTGTGCTCATGCCCTGGTGACACAGTCAGCTTCCTGATTGGACTGTGTTCTGAGGGCAGAGATAATGACCCGCTCACCTTTGCATCCCTGTACCTCGCCCTGTCCCCGCACATAGTAGGCGCTCAATACATGTTTGTCGGATTATAAGGTAGTTGTAAAAGTCCTAAAAGGTCAAGGCTGACCATGGCAGGGAGCCTGAGTGGGCGTGATCTTTCATGTGTCTTCCATGTCGACAGGGATCCGCTCTCATCTTTCTGCCAAGTGGCAGGTACTCAGTTGCAGTCTCTGATGAGTAGGTGGTTGTCCCAGTTCTTGTCTTTGAAGAGTCTAAAACCAGCCTCTCTTGCCCCACTGGCTCTCAGAGAAAACAAAGTTGCAGGGAGTGAATGATTTTTTGAAAAGAAATAGGACTGGGCTGCTTCACAAAGCATTTTGTGTTCCCACCAAATCCGTAAATATTTATCGAGTGCCTACCATGTGCAAAGCACGTAACGTCTTAGTAGCTCCCCCTATGAATGATCTACTCACGTGTGCAATGATCTGAAGTCTTTTTCATTAAATCTGACAGAGATTGCAATGCTTGGGAGCAGTTAACTTCACTCAGATGTATCTTCTCCTTGGGAAAAGTGTGAAATGCCTTTCACAGTTTTTTTTTTAATTACAGTAAATAATAACTGAGTCGCAGTGAAAGGAGCATTTGAGACGGGTGTCAGTGTGCTCAAGAACAGAATGGAAGTCCGTCAGTTTGCACAGATGGGGGGCTGGGCAGCAGCAGGTGCGCTGAGCATTCCTGAGACGGCCCCGACACGGCCTGGGGAGACCGGGTGTGCCTTGGTGCCCAGGCAGATGGTGGTGTTCTGTTTTGTTTTACTGCTTCTTTTCCTCGTACCAGGATCATGGGGCTTCTTCAGGTAGCCCACCCAGGGGCCCTTTGGCTTGTTTTGTCCACAATTTTTCCTTGGGCTTTCTTTTTGCCGGCTGAGTTTTCAGTGCTGTTAGTAATCATTTTCATGACCTCATACAGCTCTCAGGCTTCCTTTTGGTCTATAGGGTCCCTGTTAATTAAGGAAACGACTCTAGCGCGAAGTGATACTGGTTCTCTAAGTCCCAATGAAGTAGACAAAATGGGAAATGGCTTTCTCATCATGACGGAGAGGCCTAAGGCCCTGCCCGTTTTCACAGTAGTGCATTCGTTTACTCTGGAAATGAAACCCCCTGGCTCACGGTTTACTGCATTTCTACCTCTCCTTTTCTGAGTCCTGTTTAGGGATCTGTCAGAGACCATGTGTAATATGTACTTCAGGATTTTCTAGTAGTTTACATGAAACTCAATTTTAACAATATGCAAACGAGACCATTTTCTGTATACTTTTTACAGGAAGCTATTGAGTCTTTCAAAGAAGCTTTGAAACAGAAAGTCGACTTTATTGATGCGTATAAGAGCCTGGGGCAGGCCTACAGGTAAGCAAAGGCGTGGCAGTTGGGGTAGGAGGGGGCGGCAAGGGCAGAAAGCCTCACTCAGAGATATTGATAAAGAAATAGCTTTTTCCCCCCAAGGGAGGGGTGGTTTTCCATTGCCCAGGCATCCATACACTCATCCATGTCTTCCTGGGATGCAGAAAGAACCGTGCACCAGAGGATGTCATGTCTTGACTTTAGTGTGTCAGTGTGGGGTCTTCAAAAAGTTTCTGAAAATGTGCATTATGAAAAACTGTGCATGAATCTCCATTTTTTTTTTCTTTTTTGGCACCAAAATAAACTTGTACCTTCATTTTGTTTTTCCATGAACCGTTGACATCCCCAGGATGGGTCTAGAGAAGGTTAACCCTCGAGAGTCGGTGGTGGACTAGCAGCAGGGTGAGCCCTGGCTTGTGGCTGCTGCTGTCTCCGCCGCCGTCTTAGACCTTAACTGGAATGAATTCCCATCTCATCACTGTGATCCGTCTGAAGAGCCCTGGGATAGAGCGATGGGAGAGTGACGGATTTAACACCCTTCCGTGACGAGTCGGAACTCTGAGTAGAACCTGGCTTCCTGGCTCCATGCCCTGCCCTGATTAATGAAACTAATCTGGCTTTGGCCTCAATGAAAATTTGTATACTCTGATAGAAAAGGAAGTGGCCTGGTTTGGTGGACGGGGCTCAGGACGAGGAGTCGGGACACTTGATGTCTCTGGCCTGCCTGTTCTTCCGGGCCGTGTCCTCAACTTCTCAGAGCTTTTGGTTTCTCACATGTAAAGGTTCAATAAAAGCTAACAAACAAAGACAGCTACAGGATTTCCTCGCTGGGTGTCTTATTCAGAAAAGGCTGAATTCAAGAGCTTATCTGATGTGGATGGTTTGAAACGCTCACTTGCACTAACGTGGAGAAATGTTTGCGTTTTGTTTGGTTGAAGGGATGGCTTTTACCCTTCCTGTCCCACAGACTCGTCAGGGATATAGGTTGAAAACAGATTTGAAAGCACGTTGTAGAGTGCAGTGCACCTGTAAGCAGGCATTGTATGTCTAAAAATATTCATAGAGAATTGATGTGTTGACTGTTTGGAAGTTACTTTTGTTCGTTATAAAACTTTAAAGATATAAGATAATAACCGTTTCCATTCTGGAACGATTCCAATTCTAAAATTTACTCTTTTTTTCCCAGAATTTTTAATTATGTAACAACTTTCTAAATTTTAGGTGAAGGAGCGTCAGTGGACAAAATCACTTTAAGCCTATGGAGTTGGTTCAGAATGATAACCCTCCTTACGATTATAGTTTGTGTGCTTCCCCAAGGGCAAAGGTGTTTTTTATCCATAGACTGAGGTTGAGATCTAGTTTTTTAGGGGTTGGAGTGCATCATGAACTGGAGAGAGAGGTCTGAATAAGCATTTGCCTTGGGAGATCAAAACATGCATTTTCCCCAGAGAGTTTCAGGAGTCCTGTGGTCAGCCTAAGAGCTGGTAAGATGTATTGGGTCGTCAGAAAAGTCATGATGCACTTTTGCATAGAAAAATACATCATGAGGGACCAGTAGGTGGAGTAATGGTTATGTTGTTGGACTCCCACGTAGTCGACTAGAGTTCGAGTCCTGGACCGGGTGTCTTAAAACTCACACCAAATGTGAGTGTGTGTGCGGGTCCTGGGAGGAGACTGGAGAAGAAGGGATTATGGCATAGCCATCCCACTTGGGGAGCGATTTCTCTCTTTCTGTCTCTCTGTCCCTCCAGTGAGTGCATACACCCTTTATCAAAAATCTCAGGGGAAAAAAAAGGGGAAAGAAAACATGTCCTGACTTTTCCAGTGACCTAGTAGAAGTCAGAGGAGCGTGGCGAGTTGGGCTGTGTGGGCCTGAGGCGGGAGTAGCACAAGGTCGCAGCCGCAGCGAGGGCTCTTACCCCTGGGGTGGTCTCCTCTCTGAGGAGAGCGTCCGGCCTGCATTGTCCTCATCGCTGTCGAACCCCTAGAGAACTGGGCAACTTCGAAGCGGCCACTGAGAGCTTCCAGAAGGCGCTGCTGCTCAACCAGAACCACGTGCAGACGCTGCAGCTGCGGGGTGTGATGCTCTATCACCATGGCAGCCTGCAGGAGGCCCTGAAGAACTTTAAGGTGAGCTCCCAAAGGGCGGGCTGTGCCTGGGCCTCGGGGTAGTCCCGTGTCCCTGGGGCCCGCAGGGTAGTTCCCTGACATCCCTGGGGCCCAGCCGGGTAGTCCCGTGACATCCCTGGGGCCCTCGGGGTAGTCCCATGATATCCCTGGGGCCCGCGGGGTAGTCCCTGTGACATCCCTGGGGCCCGCGGGGTAGTCCCTGACATCCCTAGGCCCGCGGGATAGCTCC